GTAATAAGATATTGTTGTTTGTCAGTGAGATTTTGAAATGATATTAACTTCCAAGAGATATCACAAAAGCTATTGTTATGAGTTAGATACATTACATCGACCCCACGAAGAATGTCTTTGTCGATTTATTCTTAAAACTGAATGAATGACCTCACAGGCTTATTGAACAGGTTTGGAAGTGGTATCGCAACCTTACGTATGTGACTTCATTCACAATATACCACGGGTCAAAGTGTCAAGTCGCGTATAGCAACACTGACGTCATGCACCGAAATGCAATATTTTACGTGCGCCATCGTTTAAGTGTGTTTTTAAGATTCCATAAAGTTTTGTTGTTTCGCTCATAATCATTCGAATCTTGTTATTATTTTAACAACTAGGCCGACAAGGAGACCAACACGAAGCAAAAAGAATGTTCCATTCATGTTACGTCATTAGATAATGTCCAATGGGGTCGAGGGGATGTCAATGGCTTGCGTAAAAACATTAGAATACAAAATACATTCGCCGAAAGTAGAATGCTTACTTTTACATGAACTAACGATTCGCTGTCAGCACCGAAACAAAAAATCTACTAACTATCGATTTCGATCACTAGGTGGCATATATCACTCATCAAAGTGCCATTATTTCGACACTTTTGAAGATTTCTATGAACATGTAACATCCCTTATTCGTTGCAGCAAGATATACTCTCTCTGAACTATCTCGACATTATTTTTAATCTGTGTTCATGTCTACAAAAATGCAGTAAACTACTACTACTGAACCACCACGACCATAGTAAAATAAACTATATTTAATGTAAGACAAAAATGCGTGATGCAAAATTCTTTTCTCGAGCTAAACTGAGTTAATGGGGAAGGCTAAATTAGGAGACGGGATGCATGATTGACGGACCGAGAGTAATGTACTTCATAAATTATATTGTCAAGCCAATATAACAATGAGATGATTAGGTGCATTACGAATAGATTTTACCAATATATCTGGCGTGGCCGGACAATTTAACTTGACTACTTTCTGGCGAAGACGAGCTATTTTAGGCGTTGCGCCTCGGGCATTTTGTAATCGGCATCATTTATGGCGTAATCTGCACAATGCATAGCTTCCGTCTGATCTTTAGCCAAAGGGCATGCTATTTACCTCTGTTTACTTATGCAGCTATTTAATCCTATTCATAGGATAATCATAAATATATATAAATCATTTATTGCCTTCAATTTTACTTTTTTTCTGTGCATTTAAAATGTGTGAAATATTGTTATATCTTGTGCAACTATGTAGTTTATTTTGTAATCCGATGGATTAGGTAGATCAAAGTAGGTAGATGTACGTACATGCATGGCAACTTGTTTATATTGTCATTCCTCACACTTCCGAAAGTTTTTATCTTCATTCAAAATCGTAATTTCAAGGGGCACTGTAACATTGACCTTCACAAGGGTGGAGGGGTAACATAGGTTTTTAATCAATTCGAGCAAGGTAGATATGGATTTTTATTTTTTATTTTGTAAGACTTGTAAATAAAATAGACATTTTGATACTATTTATTTTATAATTGATCTAACTTCAAAGGTTGAAATGTTGAATTTTGCATATAACATTTTCCTAATAAGATATCATACACGATCAGGTGTGACATGATCTATCAAACACCACTCTGAAAACCTTGCTTGACAGAAATTATGTAGTTCACATTTTGCCGTTGGAATTGTTTCCATGTCCATTTTTTTTATATCGAAAACTGCCACCTGATCGAGCTAACATACTAGGACTAGGTGAATCATACAAAAGTTCAATCCAAATTTCTGTGATCAATTCTGTTCGCCTAGCTGTAAGCTAGGGCTTTAAAATTCACTTTCACGATATCTCGTTGAAATATATCAATAGTTAGGATTATATGATTCAAATCGATATAGTTGGAAGGGCTTCCTTAAAGAGGGCATATTGGGCTGTTATATTGCTGTGTTGAAATATCTGTAGCATAAATGAAAAATGATACAATGGGGTATTACAACACGCCTGTGTTGAATTGCGTAACACGGCTTGCGATCAATGGTTAAAATTATTGCGGGAAAATCTTGCGCCATCGACAATTTTTATTCCACGCGAAACAGCCAGACCTAATTCGCTCGTATGTTGAACGTGTTACAGCTGTGCTACTTTTGTAGATTTCTAACAAAATATTTCGTTAACCGATAAGCATCGTCTGTTCGTCGCTTTGCAACTATTGTAGAATCGTGGATTTATTTCGAAATAGCTGTGGTATCGATGTCTGCAAAAGTGAGTGACCAATATGTGTTTAAATGAATATCAAAAGCTTCTACACTGCACAATGTACAGCAGGATTTAAGATCCATTCAGTTTGCTTTTTGCCAATTTCTGATAGATGGATGAAACAACGAAACCAGGAAATTGCGTATTCACTTGTTGCTGAAAATGATGTCATATTGCCCTGAAGCCATTATGGGTGATACAACTTCACGCGCAAGTCCTGCTTACTTTCAATACGTAGCCTAAAGCAATTAAGGATATAAACCTGGTGACTTGTTATCTTTGATGATACGTTAGTTTTATAAAAAAGGGGTGTGTGGACTTGAGCAACAGAACGTGAAAGTGATTAATTTCAGGTCATTTAGGTTTTGTATTCATTTTCTGCAGCGATCGTTTTTATAGCGATAGCAAGGAGTTTCACAATAAGTCAGACAAAGTCAGTAGCTCAGCAAATCGGATGCGAACTGTTTTCTTTCCTGTTTTGTACAATTGTTAAAACAAAAATTAAACTTGTACTTAATCTCAGATCACAAATTAATAACAACCGTAACTACATAAACTAGAAGTCGAAATCCAGGTGTATCAGAATACCGTTACCGGGGGAGGCCAGGGTTACTGGCGAATATGCCATTTTTCTAAAAATACCAGTACGTGAAATCAGTAATGATACCATTTGCTACGACAATAGAGAGGAAACCATTATTCATCTTTGCAATTTTTACAATTTTTCCCATGAAGTTGTTAGCGGTCTTTATTGACAAGACCATCATACGTAATTTTCGTGTTAGAGCAATGGTTGCAATCTTCAAATTTTGCTCAGGTTATTCCCAATACTTTCAATCTGGAAACGAGGATAAGTTTTGATTGCCTTGCTAAACTATCGTCAAGAACCCTTGCTTTCGATGGAAGTGCACTTCGGTGTAAAACTCAAGAACAGAGCTAAAGAAAGTTCCAACACTGAATAAAACAGGTAGAATGGCGATAAAATGAAAAAAATTTGACAATGGCCATAAGGGGATGATATCATAATATGTAGAAATATATATTAGACTGTCCGTCTGTAATGTTTGACGTTTGTCGCATGTTGATATTGAGATGTGCGTCATTTCAAAGTTGAGGTTCGGATTTGGGTTGTGAATCAACTATTTGGCAAATCATTTGAATGCATAACCAAACTTTGTATTGTACCATTGGGCCTTGGTTATTTCAAAGTTAATTATGTAAATTAGCCGATTAATCTTCACAAAAGTTGTTTATTTCTCCATTTTTGTCCTGGGGCTATCATACGGAGAAAAATCAACATAGCTATTCTATATTTATGATTATTATGAGTGATAAAACTGCCATGCTTTTTTATTTTCAACGACTAATATTAAATCTCTATTCAATATAATTAAAAATATATTTCACCTGTCATTGTTTTGATGGAACTTGAGAGAAATGCACTCACAGTATCCAGCATAACGGTATAAAAATGTTCTGATCCACTTTTATGAAAAATTCATTTCATCCCAGTTGTATGACCAGTTTTCTGTAAATTTTTCGGTAGTACATATGCGCCGAAATGATCTATATTTAATAAGTTGTCTACTTAGCTGGTAGTTTAGTTAAAAATGCGTCCTTGGTGCCCTAACAATCGAAATTACGATGGAATATAATCCTATTAGCGTCATATCTGACCAAATTGTTATTTAGGTAGTAAGTTTTGTTGACATTGTCTTGTAGCATAAAATGGAGGTCTCCTATCGCTCGTCCATTTATACGACAATGGCAGCACGCCTTTGCGAATATTCTCACCAGTAATTCGAAATATAATGTGGGCGCTAACTCATGCTTTGGGAGACAAACAGTTTTACGGATTATCGATAATCCGTTCTTGTTTGCCATGAACTTGTTTTTCTGAACTTTCCATGTTAATTTAATTTAAAAATTATGACCAGCGACATTACTCGGTCACGATGGTCGGATGTTGCTTGTTTGTACAAAAAATTATGAAGGATTCCTTTTTGTTTACTATTTGCCAACCTCGATCATCATTGGTCCAATTGTGCAACGAAAATATTGTTGGTTTTATTGTGACACGATTGTTGTCCTATATGGCGAATCGTATTTCATTCTCTCGCCTGATGTATAAAAGAACTCGCCCGTACACATTCTATCGTATTGTAAGCAGGTGCTCGCATGGCCGTAAAAGTGTTGTTAGTATACGATATATCTGGCTCGCACTTGAACACCAACTACGAGGTTATTCTATACCGAAAATAATGTGTTGGAGATTGGGCTTCGTTGGTATATACTATCAATAGCTCATACTTAGTTTTGAGATGCTTTTTTGTATGAGTGGATTTTCCAAGTAGAAATTATCCCTGAGCGAAGCATTGTCATTGGTCATCTACGAATCGATAGCCATCATTATTGTAACACATAGTTGTACGGTCCTTGACCTCAAATAAGTAGGAATTTAAACAGATTAAATATTTCTATCGTATTCGATTGTACCTAAAGTTAGAACAGCATGGATTTTATTGGACAATTATACATGTATTTTGCTTTGTGCATATTGCATATTGTGGTGTCGCGGCACACTGACACATCAGTTCAAACGCGACAACTAGGTGAACCGTGGAAGCAAATTTATTTTGCTAAACCTATCTGCTAGAATTTCGCTCATTCTTACCCGAGTTGTGGCGACAATCACTTGATTCGGTACAATTAATATTGTAACCACGCATTTTACCATTTTCAGAAATTTATAAATTTCCAGAGTAGTGTTGTAGGCTATAACAAGCGAAGACGGCCGTGCTGGTGATAAAATCATCTTTTACATCCGAGTTGATAATTTTCTTCTCGGAACCTCTGCTAATTTCACTTCGACCGGTAAGTAGGCTTGTATTTAACAAACAAAAAAACGTGTGGTAGATGAAAACTGATGTATGTATTGTGGTCGATTACAATCCTTTCTATAAGTACATTTTCTTCTTTTGGCTGGGTTTGAGCAAATTTAATGGTTCCATTACATTTGAACCCACGTACATTTGAACCCATGACAATTGCACCTGTATGCTATTGCACCTATGGGATTTTTTTTGTTTCACGGATAGTTAAACCCATACTAACCCTAATCCATGGGTTTTAGCACCCGCATATAGATTGAACCCGTGGATATACGCATGGGTTCAAATGTACATGGGTTCAAATGTACGGTCACCAAATTTAATACGTTTTCATATTCTCATCATCTGCCCTTCTACTTTGATATCATTTGCTCACATAACTCATATCGATGTAAATTTGATATTTTACTCTGCGATAATTCAAGCATAATCATCCATTTTAACATTAACCGAGCTTTGTCGATTATTTCCAATGTAAGACATTCCTGTGGCTATTGTATGACGAAATTTCATCTACAAGCGAATAGCAACAAAAATGCACGGATTAGCGAACCGTGAAATTTCACATTTAGCGAATCAACTGATAAGACTGATATTTGTGTCGACCCAACGCATTCAATAATTTTTATTTTTCCATCAGTTCTGTAGGTTTATGCCTTTGATTCGGAATACGCAAGCTTCAAACCGTTCTGCGTTCAAGACAAGAAAAAAGAAGTATAACTGCGTCGATCTGACATAAATTCTGGTTGAACTGAAACTGAACAAAATGTCACTTCAAACCAAAGGCGGTGGTGAAACACCCGAAGCTGAAGGTTTGAATAATAATTTGATCCTTTTTATAAGCATTATACGAGCTTTCTAAAAATAATCTTCGATTAATCACACTTTCTTTTTGATTAGATCGACCCAAGATGCACTCAGGCATTTTACCAAATGGCATGCACGATAATTTAAATTATGGTCGAATCTACATTTCGTTTCAAGACTTATAAAAACTATCTAGAAGCGGGAAATGGGTATCCCATCTGTAAACAATGGGCCAAACAACAAGACTCTAATTTTCAACAGGAACGGACTTTACCTACGTAAATCCATCCTTCGATCAACCGAATGAAAATGATGGCGAGACTACAATCTTTGGTCGAGATGGAGCTGTCACTGTGACTGAGAGCCCGCCCATCACCCGTAATACAAATGGGATCGTGGCTTATAGAGGACAGCCACCACCAAGAGAAAGGTACGACTCAATTAGTTTAATGGCACCAATTGGAGATGAATCTTTGTTAGCGCATCGCAGAATATTAGAAATCATTCGTAAAACACTACATTAGCGGCTCGGTTACCTCGGTTCGAATGTGGGCAAGCCCCTATTATCACCAAGTATATTCATGTATTTACAGATGTCGAACAATAAGCGAGAATGTAGATGCTTTTTCCGATATTACTGCGGACGATGAAGAAGAATTGTCCCCTAAGCCGACTCGCGCTGCAGCTATGCTGGAACACCTACCACGCTATTCTCAACTGGCGAATAACAACCATGCGAGACGTGGAACAGGAGGAAGACGAGGGTCGACATGGAGCATCGGTAAGCAAAAGTATTTACAATGATTTTATAGTGGAATTCACTGACTTTTCCGTGAATAGATGAATCACTGAACAGTGACACACATTGGTTATATCATGTTCAAGTAATTTAGTGTTTATTATTCAATCGATTGATAATACGTTATGTTTGAATGAACAAGACATTAGGTTATTTACTGAACATATATTCAGAAATCCATTATCGTTTTCTTAATTTGTTTTCAGTGAATCCCACAAGCTTATATAAATATTTCATAGTAATATATTAATGAACATCCCCGTTGAATCAACCATTGGAATCGTTTTTCATATATATTACCTAATCCCTCATCTGATAATCAAATGGGGAATGAGAACTATACTTCAGAAATGTGGCAACCATATACCTTTTATTGTTTATGTAACTTTTATTCAATCGCTAATTCCTAGTTAAACTTCCATCAAAATGATGACGCAATAAAACTGGTGTCATCATATGTGCACATCATGACTGGTATTCTGGTAGGGACTTCCGGTATACGCTTTTACAAAAATTAATAAAACACATATTATTTAGTTGTTATTAAATTAATCTAGTAAGTAGTAATCTAGTAAATCTAGTACCTGTGGATTAACTCTGGACCAATGCCTAGTGCTCGAATAAATTTGTTCATACTTAGTATTTCCAATATTATTGAATTTCAGTCATGTCATCAACTACAGACATTGCCTTATGGTGGTAAATTTAATGAATTTTTAGCAGGGTGTATATGGGGACGCGAGAGATATCACGTTTCGTTTGCAACTGTCATTAGAAACTATAGTTTAACATTTTAGTTGCTAATTCATCATTGCAGCTTTTAAATGGACCAGACAATTTAAAAGTAGAACGAAATAGTAGTCTTAGTTAAAATTTGTACATCGGTAGAATAGATTAAAACTATAAAGCAAGTTTGTCGGACTAAACAAACTCAAGTTCACACCCGAGTAGTGTAGTTTTGACGGAAATGAAACATTTGAGTAAAAAGAACGAAAAACTGTAGTGATATTATCATCAGTTGTGTTTAAATATACAGTATTGTATAAAATCAGTTTAATATTATGCAAAAAATCCAAAAGCGAGCAATTAGAAATCTTAATTTATAGTATAATCTTAATTAATAAAAACGTGCTATTGTTATCATCTGGATATTTGGGCCGTATGTACTATTCGCTTAGCTAATTCAACGATATGCTATATAACCCTCTACATACAACAAACATTGAGCCTGTATGTATATATTTATTAAAAATCGCTCTTTAAATGTTGCTCGACAAATACATAAATTCAAATTTGTTGTTGCTTCTATTATGTTTCGAATAACTCGCAACAATGTGTCAGACGCAGCTATACTTGATCATGATTGCTGAATATTATACCAATCAACTGCCAAGATTACCGTTAATACGCGTTTCTTTAGGATTAGGTGTAATCTTTTCGAAACAATTTCTCTTAAAACTTCGCTTACTTCTTTATACATATTTCATAAACAGTACACATTGAGAGGATTTGTATATTACATACTATTCAATGTCATTTGATCTCCATTTACATATTTTTATTGCGAAAACTTTCTCGGTCAGGATATTATGTTGTGTGTGTACAGGATGTATGACATTACATAACTGCAATCATACTTAGAGTAAAACTTAGAGTAAGTTAGAGTAAAACAGGTGCAAGAAAGTAGAGAATTTTGTGCTTGCAAGGTTCTACTGTATATTTTTCAATTTGCATACTATCCTTACAAGCAATACAGTGAGCATCATGTTGAATCGCTCATTTAAATGTCAATTTATTTCCCGAGATGATGGCATGTCAATTAAAAATAAACGTGTCGTCAATCAATCAACGCGTCCTGAGAAAAAGGTTTCTTTCACCCTTGCTCAAGAGATGGCAAATAGCCAGCGTTAATTGATGTAAACAAAGGTTACATTTGTAAACAAGGAAGCCAGTAGAAAGCGTTTCGCAGTTTAAGAATTATCTCCGTTGTTTGTGTTTTGGAGTTAAAAAGAATAATGAAGCAGCATGTCAGTGTTAATATGCAGCGTCAATATCGGTGCAGAGAAAAAGGTAACTTAAATTTGGTAATATAAGAATTTCTTGCTTTCATTCATCCTATCGCCGAACGCAGATGATCTTGTGTGAAATTAATTAAGTCAAGAATGAATAAGATTATGGATCGTGTATATGGAGATTAATCTTTATAACTTATTTCAGTACTACAAAAGAGACAGTTAAACTCATTTTTTTTCATTGGTGCAATCGAATTCACGATTTTATTCCGGGTGAGGTAAATCAATTATATAAGACCCAGTGGCATCGTTATGTAGTTTTATTAGTTTCACGGATCGGTTCGCAGTAAAAATCTGTGTTATTGATTCATCGCTGCTTGATTTGTTTTTATTCACAAAAGCTAAATTTGGACATGATGTCAAAGAAATAAAACTATTGCGTGATTTCCACCTACTTAGCGAACCATCTAAATAGACGCGAAAATGAGCCCAGAAACACAACAAACAACTTGAAGCTACCGACTTTCGCCGAGCAACCGCGACGTTTCCGAAACTACGAAAATCTCGTTTACTGAAATTAATCACATGTTCCATACATTCCAATAATTTATTCATTATATTATATGAAATATGGGACTTACGCGCTCAATACGCGTGACCTCGTGTTTAATGTAAACTCAACCATATTTAGGAAATTTACTCATGTTTACACAAAAAGGGTTTTAGCATTTCAGAAGCGGAATAAATTTTCTGAAAATTGTATCAAATAGTTTGTAAGATTAACTGTTTCCAAAATAAAAATACGTGTCATGTATTCATTCGTCTGTATTCATTTATAAGTTTTATTTTGCGGACATATTTAGTCATGATAATTGGAGGCAGAAACCGTATTCTACATGTCGATTTGATGTTGTCCTTGTACTCCGCACGCCACACAATTTAACTTCAAATAATACTTTTGTTAATTTCGTACATATGCTATTAGGCCACCTAATCTTAGAGTACGTAATAATTATAGCGATAAACCGATAATTTCGAACCAAACAAAAATTTGCTTCACACTCAGTTTTATATTTATTGATTATGACTGATACAATGTGCTCAATTTTCATATTAAAATGCGTTTCCCATTTATATTTTGAATATTGCATTGCATTCGTATATGGAGACGTGCTTTATACTGGCAGCAATCATATTTCTGGTGTGCTGTCATAAAATGATTATAAATTTCGATGTTGATCGAAAATCAGAATGTTTTATCGCCAATGTCAAGTGCAATATTTTCACGATAAGGGGATATTTATAGTCGCAGCAGAATGTGGGCAATCAATCGAGACTTGAAGTCGAGACAGATAAATGCGACAAGGTCAAATATGTTTGTCAATATTTGCGCAAAATAATAAAATATGACAGGAGCATAGTAGCATCTCACGTATATAACCTTGATTAGCAAACTAATGTCGATTTGTTGTTTGCAAGTCCTGCATAATGCATAATTTGCTGGCTGCTATTTTGTTTGTCTGGTTCGCTGATTGCAACAAAGTTTGCTATTAACACATACACCACGCTATAAATTATGTAGGTCGTGTGCCAACAGACATTTGTGGTCACAAATGCTTCTTACCCAAATGACACCAAATATTGATACATGTATTGAAGAAACTTGTTAAATCATAAATTAAATTGACGCTGATAGTGACCTTTATTCGAATTTTTCCGAGACCACCCGCCATTTTGATTTACCTAAAATATCGATAGAAAGAAAGGATAGATTTGCAGCCATATTTTACATCATCGAAAACGTTTGATGCGTTTAAAAAGACGCCAAAACACTATTTAAAACTGTTTACACGGGAATTCCAAACTTCGAATACTCCATGCTAAATATCGATTTTTGTATATTTGCTGCATATCGAAAATTAATGGATGAATCCACATATTTGGAATCTACATACATTATAAGCTTTTTGTCACACCAATCCGCCATTCATGCGATATATATGATGCGATTCTAATGTGATTTTGTTTCATTTCAGATTATGACGAAGAAGACGCTCATCGAGAACTTATTTTGAAGATACGCAAAGTAAGTTAACGGATTACTTCCAGATTTTAGCTATATGAGTGCTGCATTAGTACTCGAAGCAAGTAGTTTGTGAAGAAAATATCAATGAACATAACAAGTCCCTTCATTAAATCCATAAAGTATATCAAAGTTTATCAATTGAATATGTTGCTTTACCATCTAATTTTCAAAGCAATAGAAATTTAAATTCATATCCTAATCGATTACGGATGTTCTTTGCAATTTGTTATTTAAGTGATGTTCATTGTTGGTGAGAAATCGTAGTACTGCTAACTACTTGTCTTCAGTTTGCCTTCATCTACGTCATCTCAGATCTATGCTAAATCGAACATGAACAATTTTAAACAGTGTTTTTAGTTAATTAGTATTGAAATTATATTATTGGTATCGTATTTTTAAATCCAAATAGCAAGCGATCATATTTAAATTAAAAAATTAAAAAAAGGATATATAATGAAACGAAACAAAAATTGATTTTAATAGTTTGGAATGACCGAAATCACACCAAATTTGAATTAATCTGGGTATGTCTGTTGATTGGTGGAGACCTTATAGTGAACTTCAATGCTTGAAATTTGAAAATCAATAACTTGGCATCGTGATGTGTCGCGAATTCAGTCATATAAATTGATATTACCTAATGAATGCTTGGACTTGTCTGTATGCAAAACTTTCATTATTCTGTATTTAGAATCTACCACTAAAAGATTTTACGGAAGAGATCAGAGCAAATAAGGACTTGGCAAAGTTTCTGGTTCAGCCCGTGGTATTATTGGATCTTCCGGACACAAGTAAATTATATTTTAAGATCAAAATATAGCTTATACTTAAGTTGGCCTCTGGCTCAAATTCAACGCTGTGCTCGGCCTGGTCCTTAGTTTTAAATTATGCCGCGCAGTTTTGTGCTGTAGTGATTTCCGAAAAAAATATTCATTCGATTATTTCTGCATAAGTGCCTGCCATCAATATACTTGGTGAAGGAAAATATACAATTTTTTTTTTTCTGTTCACATTTTCTGTTATCAACATTACTGACCCAAAAGTAGTCGCGAATTGTTCATTTCATGTACTTGTATATGGAGAAACAATGTCACGCGACAAAGAATAATTCAAAGTATTTTCTTTCTGCTTATGTTACTATGATGCCCAACTTGTTACTATATATTTGTATTCTCTTTCGTAGAAGACAAATCCGATGTATCATTCGGTACGTGCTGCACCGCGGTGTAAGTGTGCATGGTAGAGTTGAAAAATATAGTTTTTCCAGGTGATCGTTTCTGTTTACAAGTAGACAACCTTGTATAAGGACGTTTATGTGTGCAATATCTTTGCCATATAATTTACCCTTATTTATTCGTGTTTCTTTATTGCCACGAATATCAAACCACTTGAGGTTTGTTCGGAGTGGCTACATTAGATTACAACCGATGGTTGTCAAACGTCTAGTCCTCTTTAAATTTTTCAAACTTAATTTTGAAAAAAGGCGAGTTACGCTTTGGCGTTTCATGCTTCGGCATATTTGCCGAATCTCAGTTGTCTACTACATGATAACTTTCTTTCCATAGCATCTTGATTAGCACACTCCACTTTTTAAACAATGAACAGTAGTTTCTTCACTTTTTCCCAAATATAACAATCCGGTTTTCGCATGACTTTGTTACCTTCATTCACTCTGATGAAGATATCAAAAAACTCTACATATATTGGTTTAATAGAATAAATAAACAGTAATCATCCATCATCATCATCGCAAAATCTTTAGCTGTATAACCGCAAGTCAAATTTCCAGTTGATAGGAATTAAACGCTGTTCAAACATCATGAAATTTAATACTCCAAAGTTTATAATCTTCTTTTTTAAACACATTTTTATAGAAGCTTCCACTTCATTCATTTGCATTTTTTTTTTCACTTTGCATTTTGCCGGGGGTTTCAGATTTTACATGGCATGTTGTGAGAACTATCATGCACGTCTCATCTCGCCGTTATAGTATACATACTTATGTTAACTATTCTATTTGTTCTGTCATTGTTTGCAAAATTCAACTGATTCGAGTTTCTGCATGCATAACTTATCTTGGTTCTCAACTCGTTTTTAGGATGAAATGTCTTAGAACAGCATATCTAATATTGATAATTAAACTATTGCACCGTGTGCCTTAAAATTCGCTCCTATGCTCCCATTTCAACAAAAACTGTTTGACTTAATGGAGTTTCATTTTCCAACAGGCCTGGAAACTATCATCGAGAAATTGATGGAAAAATTGCAGAAAGATTTGGATTTGGACGAAAAAATAACTGGAAAGGCAGGGAAAGCTTTTTTCACCAACCATCAACCTGGAAACGAATCATGTGAGACTTTTAAAAACTTCCTTTTTAATTATCGGTACCAATATTGTAATTAAAAGTGTAATCGGAATAACTTGTATTTGCTGATGACGGGACAGACGCAACATGATATCGAATTTATAGCAAGTTTTGTGAACTGATAATGCTATTTTGATCAACAATCTTTACCATTTTAGTGGCATCTGTGGATCAACTTCGTGAAACAATTCAGGGGGTAAAGTACGTTCGAGACGGTACAATATACGAAGAAACTTGGATAACCGCTTTGTAAGTAATGATTATTTAATTACAATCCAGTGTAATTCAAATTAGTTTTCTATTCTTTCCATTGGCAAATATCTTTTTTGTACACAGATGCGTCTTGCCTATGATCAAACGAAGTCACGTTGCAATAGCCAGATTGCGTCATCCATTGAACTTGGGAAACAAATGTGAAGAAGTTTCATTCGTGATTGCTGTGGTGGCGCCGAAAAAGGAGGTAATTTATGTTCTAAAATATATATTTTATCCTGCAGGTGGAGTGCATTCATTTCTCACTTATAATGCTAAGCCAGTGGTTTCCTCCATGTTATGCAGATTTATTCCCACCTTTTTGGGTGTATTTACTGGTATTTTCACAATATCAAGCTATGTCTCGTTATCGAAAGATTCTATTGTGTCATGTAGGTCACAAAACTTAACTGTTTACAGATTACATTAGTTGTTTACGGTTTGAAATTCAACAAACATGAAGACAATTGGTCCGTAAACATGCTTGCATTTTATATGACGTATTCTATGGACTTGTTTGCTTGTATATCATGCCACAAAATTATAGAATGAAATGGAATTAGGATATTTGATATATTACTTCAATATTGCTATTGTGATATGTCAAATATGTTTATGATATTTGGTCAAAATTTTAGCATACCAAATGTTCTATAAGATTAGTCCAATTATAATGTTTCATAGTGTTGGCAGATTTCTTTATTACATTTAGTCTCTTATTGATCATTCACTTATGTTTTATTAGCAAATATATTTCCTACACGAAATAAAAAGCGAGAGTTTCTATCTTATCATATTAGTTTTTATGGAAACTGCAGGGAATATATTATACTATCTTGCACTGGTTATCGCTAGCAGGCATGTCTCTTGTCTGCATCGATTCAAAAATTCACTTTTTATTACTCGCCCCTTGTCGATCGATCTTTGCATTGCTTGCATCTATGCGATTATAGTGCAACAAACACATAATGACCTGTGGTATCATGAGTACCTTGCATGCATATGGGCCAAGGGCCAATATCGCAAAAATATACAACGGTTTTGCGTGGCGTAAACTTGATTGTTTGAATATGAATGAACATGTTAACTTTCGCCACAGTTTACAAAATAATAAAATTTAATGATCAGGTGAGGTAATGTTCTACAGCGTGTTTAACACTACTGCTGTGAACAAACTTGTACACAAGCAGTCATCTTAATCAGTTTGGGATTCGCATTGTGTGCACAGACGGGAAAAGAATCCGATTATCATAAGCTGTGGCACAAAACTAACTAACACAGTTGGCACAGCTAAAATCCCTAGCCGATCGCGCCTATGCACCGATGATATTATAGACAAGCGTTTAATATACTTATTAACGCGTGTTGCAAAGTTATTTATCCAAGTTCATCAATATTTAAACTTCTAGTTTAAATTCTTTGATGTGCATGTTCAGATGAGTTGTTGAATGGAGAAAAACAAAACGTGTGACCTTGAATCCGTCTTGCGTAAACAACCTTACGTAACTATTGACGCAATATGTGCACATAATCAACAGTATATTTTTGACAGGATTGATGACTTAACAAATGGAATGTTCCAGAAAAATATTTTTATGAGTCAGTTTGTTTTGACGTTGCTTGATGATAAATATTTAAACAATATCAAAGGCGTCATATCCAAATATTTTTAATGACTTTCAGCAATTAATAATGTTTGTCAATTTTTAATGGAGTCTCGGATTGTCGGGTGATATGATAATTGTCATTGCCGACGTGCAATTATCCAACACTCACTTATGGCTGTACTCGTGTGAATTATGGCCTTCAGCACAACGCCAGAAAATACTAGATGTTTTTATTTTGATGAAGTTGAATTACTCAAGAGATCCGTGCATTATTCTCGACTTGTCAAAATATTTTTTCGTTGCAGAAATTCACTAAAAATGCCGTGGAAGTCGGCCGTACGTTCTCTTCTCTCATGAGCAACATTTACTTCCGGAAAAGTTTGAGCGACGCATCCTCCGAGGAAGAGTTTAAACAAGTTTTGAAACAGCAGAGTGAGAATCATATTCGAGATGTCAGGAAATCGCTCTCGGAAACTTTCATCGAAGAGGAAGAAGAGTCTTTCGAGAATATGGGGGTTTGTTGTTTATTGAATAAAAATGGTCTGTAAGACACTTAGGTTTCATTACTTTTTCAATAACGTTTAATTTAGTGAAATAGCTCCGAGAACACGAAAAGATGTTATCTTTGCCACCATAATTTGTTACTTCAGTTAAACTTCGTTACAGAACTACTAAAACTTGTTCTTCTCCATCAATGGCCAACTTTGTATATACATTGTAACGAATATAAAATCTGATTTTAATACCTCTTATTACACCTCTTATCTTTGTTTTGTAAACGAAGCGTTTATGCGATAACATTTGCGTGCTTAATTTTAGCCAGATAAAAAAGGATTTTCTTAGAATTTGACTTCTCTACATTATTTGCTGTCAGTCTACCGTGTTCATGATTGATTTTTAGCAACTTGAGTTTTCATATTCTATTATAGGTAAATGTCATTTGCTGGACGTTAAATGCCATTATTTTAGCAAACTCTGCCTACAGCCATGCCAAAATAAAGTAATGGAATAGTTTTAGTTTTCTGCAGCGTGGTCAACTGAGAGGCACCAAATTTTGACAAGCTGGGATTGTTTTTCGTTTCTTTGGCAATTTTCTGTGTTTCAAATTCACTAGCAAAGTTTTAGTGGTTTCGCATGAAATTGATTCAATAGTTCTTGATTAATATGCCCTTAATACATTTTTTTTTGTCATTTTCAGGAATATCCGTTCTACCACTTTGGTCGGGGTGTACTTGATGATCTCAAACGACGGTTGCCATATTATCCTTCTGATTTTATTGATGGTATGTTCCGGTTATTGTCATTTAGGCACAATCAAATTATTTGAAAATTTAAAAGTAATGATTTAGCAGAAACGTTTTGGGAACTTTATTCGGGAAGAAGTTATGCTTGTTATGAAAACCCTCTGTTGATTCATCAAACAATTTATTAGAAAAATGACCAATGCTGAAATGTAGAAAATACTTCAAGCAAGTAGTTCTCATATTTATCTGCAATTTACATCGTTTTAGGAATTGTTGGGAAATATACCCTGCGAAAAGTGATTGCAACAACTCTGTTTTTGTACTTTGCGTGCTTATTGCCTGACATTGCATTTGGAACAGTGTATGAGGAAAATACGGAAGGCAAAATAGGTAAAAACTAGTAATAATATCAACAGTTATAGAACTTCTTAATAGTTGCAAACATAGTGGTCAAATTCTTAGCGTCATGGCCTGGCCATTTTGATGTCTTACATCAGTGGTTCCCAAATTAGTGGGTCGCGGCCCCGAGTGGGGTCGCGTGAAGATTTTCCGGGGTCGCCTTATTTCTGTCAAACATGCACACACAAGTGACTAGGATTTGAAAGTTGGAAAGTGAAATTTGTTCTGGTCGGCGGGTACCGAAAAATGACAAAATGTCACTATTTTCAGCAATAACTCGACCATCTATTGTCCAAACGGCGCCAATATTCACGTGGAAGGCTACTTAAACTTTCAAGCTGGTCGGCAGGTACCGGTATTAGTAAATGCAATTGAGTGACAGTGCGCCAATAATATTTCTCTTTAATCGATTTTTGATCATGTTACATCCGAATGAGTAATGAACCTTAGTCCCTATTTTTCATTCATGAGTAACTGGAGGCTGAACCAGTGTCCCACCCGCTGCTACGCGAACCGTTTTTTTTGCCAGTCTGCGAGAAATTATGTTGTTTGTTATTTTGTACCAGTTTTACCGCTTGATTGTCAAATATACAAAGCAAATTTGCTTTATTTGGCGATTGGCCCTCAATTAAGTGTTTGACACAAGTATGGCGTTGATTGCCAGGCGGTGTCTTGGCGGAAAAATCATCACACTTTAGATTTCGATCAGTTGCAAAAGCGCTTTGTTAAATTGCGCACGTGTCTAAAATCGACCAGTAGGCTACGTGTTTTTGTTCACATCGCCTCATTTCAATATTACGTAATTAGACGTTTCATGCATAATTTCGAAGCGTTTTGAACAGTGAAACACAAAACCACAACCACAAGTCCTAACATAATAAAAGACACTTAAATGATGTGATTCCGTACACGTTTTTTCTTATACAGGTACTTTGTTTTCATTGAGATACTTAAACTAATATACTGATTTTTTTTGAAGTTGCGCACTCTTTCTAGTTGTGGGATCACGAGTATCCGTGGGCTTTGATCTTATGAAAATTGGGGTCGCGAAAAAAAAAGTTTGGGAACAACCGTCTCACGTTATATATGACGAGGTCGGGTTTGGATTAAATTCTCGATATAGAATATCGACATACCACCTCACGAATACGGTGTAGCCAAGACAGACATTGCTACTTTTGTGTGTTCGTAATTTTTCCGGAACTCTTTATCGGAGTCGTCGATTTTTAGAGTCCGGATTCGTATTTTGTACATCCCAAGTCTGGAGGAAATATCTCGACCATGCGCGTCATTGGATCTACCAGATTGTCTGTACTATATATCAGAAGTTATTTAATTACTTTTTATTTCAGGTGTGACCGCTTGTATCATGGCACAGACGTTCGGTGGACTAGTTTTTTCTCTGTTTAGTGGACAACCTCTACTTGTTCTTTTGACTACGGCACCATTGGCTTTATACGTGAAAGGTAACACGATCTTATTCGCTTGATCCCAATAACCTATTTTTTAATAATTTGAAACTATCAATCCTTTTCTCGGGGTTGAGGGATATCAAGCAAAGTCTTGTTTGGTCATTGGCGTCAATAGCAAAATTAATATATATTACTTGCCTGTCTACAATGTATATTACAAAACATTGGGCGAATTCGAACTGTTCTCGTATAGATAATTTCAATTGGAGATGGATTAAGAATTACTTCAGATTGTAAGAACCTAAGTTTGGATTAAGTCTTATTTTATCATATACAGTATATATATACAAGTTCAGTACTTGAAAGATTTTTAATTCAAAATTTCTGTATTTCAGTAATAAAAATGGTCAGCGGCGTTATAAATGTTGATTTCCTGGCATTGTATGCGATGGTCGGCTTGTGGAATTCATTCTTCATCATTTTGCAAGGATGCTTCCATGCTAGTAAACTGATGAAATATTCGACAAGGTAAGCAAGCGAAGATCTAAGTATTATTTATATTTTATTTATTGCGGGCTTTCCAAACAAGATTTTCAACAACTTTCGCGCACTTTCTATGGATGGACATCACCTAACGTATTTCTGTAAAATCCGACCTTACCGAAGCAATCACGTTTTCTTTGATTAGTGTTGTGCTCTAAAAGCAGCCAACTGTTGTTGATGTGTTGATGCGATGTAGACTGATTACATATGTAGAATCTACAAGTGAAATGTCAATTTTTACTCATCTCACACAGGTCAACAGAGGAGATTTTCGCCTTCTTTATCGCGCTTGCTTTCATCGCAGATGCAGTGATGGCAACGGTCGGAAGTGAGTTTTTTCAGTTTCAATAATAAATTAGTTTGAGCATGTTAAAGTCCGAATAATGCGTTACCCTTACCAAGAAACAGAAATCCAGAAGTATTTTCACATTGAAAAATCAACTTTTTTATATCGTTTTTGCATATATGCTTCCATATATTTTACTGAATGTTTATAGGATGACTAAGTTAAATTGAACGCCCACACCATTATAAAAATATTAATATAATACCAACAATATTTGCAACATTAACGTGAGTTTCAATATGTCACGACTCACGTTATTAAGATTTGGACAAAATGATTCAAACAAAATTACGCACTTAGGCGCAAGTTTGAATGTTGTTGACCTTGAGATATATCACACTTTGAAAAGTGCCTATCATTAAGAAAGCTAAACTGGGAATGCGTTTTCATTACGTTAGAACAAACAAAAAACAAGAGATCCAATGCTCCCAACAATTTGCTCAATGACAAATGTATGTATAAAAACAAAAAGTATAGAAATTGTTCACGTTTTAATCGAATAGCGAACCGGTTCTCAAATGAAACGTACAATGCTAATTTGTAAAACTACACGTTATGAATGAGACTTCATATTCCTTTGATATTAATTATATTATATTCATATTCAAGACATTCCAAATTCGTATTATATTACAACTTAGTCGACCACATCACTGTTTATATAATGGTTAAATTGATTCACAGATCATGGACGGAATTACAACTTCAATGAGACGAAATATCAAGTGAATGAGAGTAAGTTGATCATTTTTTTGGAATTTTTTTATTTTTTAGTTGCACTATAATATTCAGAAATATGAACAAAGCTTACCAATCTTCAATAGCTACAACTGAACGCATAAGCAATAATTTTTCCTATCCGTACAGCGTATTTTTGTTACCGTACCAGTCATAACCTCAAAATTGCCCATTTTGATACTGTATTCTAGTATAGAAAGGACTTATGCTCTATTTGAAATGAAAATGAAAACTATTTCGTGAAATTTTATAACAGCATTGCAACAATCTTTGCCGGATAGTTGTTTGACGGAGGAATACTGCACGAGGCCAGAAAATTTTATTCTCTTTTTATTTTTGATGCTCGGAACTTTGGCTCTTGGACTTATTATTCTTCGTTTTGAACAATCGTGAGTGTTTGTATATTTAAATCAAAATCAATTCTATCATTGAAGTTTATTGAAATGTACAGCTTCCATGAGTTTTCACTGACTTCTTTTAACCGTGTAGAATCTCCGTACGTCTTCAGCAGCGATGACTTATAAATTGAATATTATAGTATTCAGTTACAATAACAGCAAAGATTGGATCTGATGCCAATAGGCGTGTTGTGTTATTAAATACTCGACTGGACTGTCCAAAACTGGAATCCTTGGGAGCTTTGCCATGTAATAGGACTGATAGCTAACCATTGAGTGTTATTCAAAATTTATCATGTAGCTTTTGTAGTATGGTATATGCTAATTTTGATCTAACATTAAACCTTCGGTTGCAGTCAATTCTTATCGTCAACGAAGCGTGAAATTTTGGCGGATTATGCTTTACCAATCTCTGTAATTGTCTTCACTTTGATCGGATCCATAGCCTTTCAAGAAATAGACGGTAAGTTTGTTTCTGTTTCTCTTCATTTTTTTAATGTTCAAGTAATACAATCTAACAAATAAACAAATTTTACTTTTTAGTTGCCCGTTTCAACTACTTTCCCGAAAGCGCGAGAATCGTTCTTGCGCCATTTCATTTATTGACAGTTGAAGCAATTTTTGTGGCTGCAGGTTTGGGATTGAGCCTGAGTTGCTTGTTTTTTGTGGACCAAAACGTATCGGCTGCACTCGTGAACACACCGTCCAACAAGTAAGATTTCCATTCCATTCTCATCATACTAATTTAATCGTAGTCAAAATGGACAGTTTTTTTAACTTTACGTTTTTCGTGTTATTCAGCATTTTTTCTGCATTCCTTACTCACACACAAAAGTACTAAACTGCACTTCAGTTTAGATGCTGATGGATCAGAACAACAATAAGGTCATTCATATCATTGCGCTGTATATTGTTTGATGCTATTTATTTTTATTTTCCTAGATTACAGAAGGGAAATGCATACCACTGGGATCTTGTTTTAATTGCTCTCATAAATGCAGTCCTCTCGATTTTCAATTTACCATGGCTGCATGCGGCCCTTCCGCATTCTCCATTACATGTTAGGGCATTGGCTGATGTGGAACAGCACGTGACAACTCTGGGAACAGTACACGATGAGTAAGTAACTAGTCTATATCAAGAGATTGATTTTGACTGATCTTCACGAGAATTCACGATGTCATTAGTCTGTGGCTATACGTGTACAAAGACTGCTGACTAGACTGAAGATTATTCATCACTTTGTTGTGATGTTAAAATCCTCACTAATAGTTTTTACTTAGATACTTTGTGTTGAAGTCACCTGTTAAACGAACTGTTTGTCTGTAATTTTTTTTAAAAACAAACATGGCAATAAATTTTATGATAAAATTCTATTTTCTCAAGTGAATGGCCAGAAACCTAAATTGATTATGGTGGTTCTTCAACGTCAATCATTTTGTATTATTCATAATCTAATACTTTTTGTCCCTATTTAGAATCGTAAAAGTACGAGAAACCAGACTAACGACTTTATTCTCTCATATTCTCATCGGTCTCTCACTATTGTTCGTTCACATACTTCAATATATCCCGGTACCAGTACTTCAGGTAAGAAAGCAATATTAAATTTTTGATTTGCTAGAAGATGAATATTAAGATTTAATTTTAAAAGTATTTCCGTGAAACACTACCTTCACTAGAATACTTCAATTCTATGCGTAAATGCTCTTTTCAGGGACTGTTTCTCTACCTTGGAATCACCTCTTTCGGAGGAAATCAACTTTTTGACAGACTGCTTCTTTTTTTTACTGAAGGCGTGAGTATTTGCATTATTGGCGAATGGCGATATTATTTCAGCTTAAGAAATGCAATAATCGAAACAGAAAAAATACATTATAGCACTGCGCAGCATTGCGAAACTATATTCACTTATATATATATATATATATAGATGTGGAGTCAATGTATTACCATTGGAGGCGTGACGAGGTTAAATAATATAATAACAAACAACCAAACAGTTTCACTATTATATATATATATATAAATGGTATACATCAATTTTTGAATACTTGCCTATTCATGTTGTTTTTAATTTTTTTTCCTCAAAATCGCCTTCCAGGAAGTGCACATGATCTAAACAAGATTTCGCTGTTCTAAAAAGTATGTAATCATTTCGTGTTTGATTCAGAGTTCTTATCCTCCAAATCACTATGTTCGTAAAGTGCCACAGAAGAAACTCCATTTATTTACTCTCTGTCAAATGCTCCAACTAGTGATTGTCTGTTTCTTCGGATTCGCTCCGCAATTCTATCTGAAGATGATCTTTCCTATTCTTATACTACTTCTGTTGCCAGTGAGGTGGGTAAATTCGTCTAAAACTTCTGTAACATTTAAGAATTTATTTTTATTATTAATCATATTGTATTCATTTGCAATACTTGAAAATAGTTTATAAGTTTGAAATCAGATAAAATTTTATAAATACGTTTGAATAAAATTCCTTCAAATCGCAAAATCGACCAAAGAGTTAGCAATGTATTGATTTGTTTTAATTTAAAGTTATTCAAATTTTCACTTATTCGAGAATTTTGTTCTGCAGACATAAGATAATGACTCGCATCATTGAACCAAAATATCTCGCCATCTTGGATTCCAATTTGAGCGTTTGAAGAAAGAACTACAACATCTCACCACGTTTTGGGCACTCTATATATTACATTTGTAATATTGATTTTCTGTAACAGATTAGTTTAGACGCAAATAATTTGTATTGGCTATTACTTTTATGTACGAGTTCTCACTCGTTCGCTTTAACCACTTATGAATTTGGTACTATCTGGAAATGCGAGTGTTCGATGCCCTAAAGTTTTATGATGTCGTCTTGTCCATTAAAAATAGTTCCGAGTTATTTTTATTGCGCTTTTTTCATTCACGACCTGATGTACTATTAAACTTTCAATATTTGCCTTGAAATATTTTATTATGCTTATCTGATCTGAAAAAGTAAGTTGATGTGATAATGCTGAATTGATTTTAACCCTAAATTTATTGTTGGTTGAGACAACCACAAGATTCCGTCCCAATCTTTGAAGAACTTATAACAGTTGCGAGGTTCTCGTTAAACATCATTGGAAATATCGATCCGGAAAACAATATTTCGATGTCACATTGACGAATTCAACGTCGACATCATCATTGAACTGTGCTATATATTTCATATATGTATTTTAAAGCATTTGGTGTAATGTTTCTGTATGTTTGTTTTCTTTTTCGTAGTATTGGGGATGTGTCATTACAGAGCCAAAAACGTTAGTTTTATATATTTTTGTACCATAAATACTAACTTTCTTGTTCCGGTTTTAAGTGGGGAAGATGTTTATTATTGGTAGTGTACATCTCAACATCTCATTTTAAGGTGCTATCTAGTCTGCATTCGCCGTCCATCCGAGTTGCGCTTGGATACAAGATCTGCGATATCTTGATTTCCAACAATATGTTAATATGCTGGGTGAAACTTTTTTATTTATAAGAACTTAGAACAACGAACAACTTGTTAGTTCATTTTGTTGTTCAACACTACAAATTCCACCAAATTTATTGTGTAATTTTCTTTTGAACTGGTTGAATAAACTAACAATAGGTGTGTAATAAACATTTATTTGAGTGCTTAAAACCGGGAATGAAAGCGAAATACGAAACTCTGGGGTGTAAGACGCTCCGAACCGTACTTGTTTAAAGTCGTCGATCCTTTTTAAAGTTGTACGTCTTAACCCCGGGGTGGAGCTTTTCCGGAGGTTAGACTAAAGTCTGCTGACATAATTGTTTATCGAAGTTTTTCTCTATTACCTAGTCTCCTAGTCTTTTGAATATGTTAAAATTACCTTAGTTCGCCACGGATATCCAAACGTTTGCATTCAGACAACTTGTCTGAAAATAGCTCAACTGTGTGTAGTCTCCGCCAAAATTAGGAATTTGTTCAAAAAGAATTGTTTTAAAACAATTCTTTTAAATCAATTTTTTTTGCCTGTTTAGTTCGAAATGGCTGTACTATTTGATTTTTTTGTATTAAATAGGTTGAATAAAAATGGACGTAAAAACTTGCGAAGCTCTTCTTATTTTCAATAAATCTTTCAGAACGCCACAAATATCGATAGAGGCTCATGTAGGCTACGGTCCAGTGGTTCTCAACCGCCGGTCCGGGAAGCTTTTCTGCCGGTCCGCGAGAAATTTCGTTGTTTTGATGCCATCTCAATCGCTTTACCGTAGACAACGTTGGTTGGCTCATTACGCAATTCTCTTCCTCCGAAATATTGCGACGTCTTTCGCGACATGTTGGCGCCGTCTTACGCGACATCTTGGCGCCGATCATTTACACTTCTCGCTTTTTCGGCTCCGATTCATCGCGAATGCGCTCCATCAAATCTCGCAAAATTAAGAAGCCTAAAAATCGGCACGCGTGCTTTTTCTGTTCTGCGTGCTTTTCCTGATTAATATGACCATCCATATGAAACGTAATGCATATCTCCTTGTTTAAACCTGAAAACAGTCAAGAACAGTATAATATTCCAGTAAGATATGAACATCTTGCGACCCCACAGGTGGTCACGAGACGCGCAAAAAAGCATGGGTCGCAGAGGTCTTTTTCAGACACAGTAGTTTTGAGCCTGTTGCCAAGTTATCGACAATTTTGTAATTGTAATGCAAATTCATTTCGTTTGAGGCGTCGATCAACTGCGGAGGGATTAATATGATGAACCCAAAGAAAAAGAAAAGGCTTGATTAAAATGGCGATTCTACTTTAAATTCCAGATTAAAAAAGAATTACTTATCACAATTTTAGATGATAACGAATACCCATCGCCAAGTAATCGAGCAATCAAACTGTTGTTCGTCTTTTCAGCCAGTTAATGCGTTATGCGAAAAAAACATTTTCATCACTAGATTCAATAAAAATGAAGCAAAGAAATCGGCTGCACGCGGCTGTAGAGCTACGTGTTGCAAAAGCTTCTTTGATGCCTCGTTTGCAATCTTATATTGAAAACGAAACAGCAGCAAACTTCTCACAGGAGTTAATTGTGCGTGTTTTTAATGTGAGATATTTTATGCGTGCCTTTCTTACGCATAATGGGTGCCCAGCACTGTATTTCATTACGCAAATATATGGCATTATTTTATGCTTCACCCATTTTTATTTTTGGTCGGCACATTATTTGATAGTTTTTTTCCGTGTGAAATGTTTTTAAATGTGCTTTTTCGTCTAGAAGCATATTAAGAGCCCGACATTGCATTATATTGGGAAAATATATGTTATTCTTTTCTGTTCCGGCCATTTCAAATTTTTGCCGGTCCGCGAGTACATTTTATCTAATTTTACCGGTCCGCCGGGGTAGAAAGGTTGGGAACCGCTGGGCTACACCTTCTCAAGCTGCAGTGAAGTGGTTGGCACAGTTAGACGCAACCGATAAACCATTTAATTGAACCCCTGCTGCGATGAAACCACCTTGCGAAAATTGAAATGCGATCGAATAACCTTGAAAAACTCTATCACTTCAACCTTAAGAACAAAGCTTGCTAAGCATAAATTAACCGAACAGTATTAACCGAATAATGCCTTCATTTTATAAGGAAAATGTTAATACATGAACTCGAAATCTATATTATGGCGTCGTAGAAGATTAGTTGTGGCGTCTTTGCATCAGAGGACTCCTACAATTAGCATAGGCTACGGTGTCTCGTCGTTTATATCAGTAGATTACCGCCGATATAAGCATATTATTCTTCATTATCGCAGCCCACTCGTTTTGCCGGAACGCTGCACTTGATCTAATTGCTTTTGTAGTGGGCTCGTGAGCTAATTTTCCTGATTTTTCTTTTTCAAAACGTCTTTTTGATATCTCGGCTAAACATTCCGGGTATAATCTTATGACTTTGGCGGATACAAGCGTATCTGCCAGAGGCAACTTGGATTATCGTTGCACCTCCTGAATATTTTTCCATCTTCTCAAATAACATTGCACCAAGTAATTCGCTCTTACTGTACGACAAGTACGCAGACAGCAATGGGGGAAAGCATCTGTTGTACTGACACAAGCATTAAGCCTACTACAAAACCCAATATATAAGTTTGCGGACTGAGGTAACGCGACATATATGTTTTTACGCTTTATATATTGATTCTGGGCTCTATAAAGACCTAGTCCTAGAGCTAAAATCTAACCATACTGCTACATTATGTGTTGAGGAAATATGTTATTATTTGAAGTAAACTGATAAACAAAAGGCTCTTCGTACTCATTGTATATATGTTTTTTATTCTGTAAACGACGGCGGTCGTTCAGATGTCAATAATCATCTGCAAAGCAACGAGAGACCATTGCTCATATATATGGACAACCACAAATCATCACATGACGCAACAGCATCCATTTACTAAACCTATATATACTAAAATTATCTACTGTAACGTATTCTTTTTCTAGATCTAGCGAGCACGAGCACGCAATCACAGATTTATCTTCAATATTAGCAAATGAAATGATGACCCCCTCCCTCAATATTACTGCCAATAACATGCTTCGGGGCTCCCGAAGTATGCGAACCAAGATGGCGGACATCGGAATGTAATATGTGTACTAGGTTAGGGTTAGGCCATAATTTTAGGTATAAATACTACGGGAGGCTCTTGGCTAGTCTTCGAACTGATAATAGGACTAAAATAAGGAAAATTGAAAAAAAATTATGGCCTAACCCTAACCTGTTACCCATTCTACGTTCCGATGTCCGCCATCTTGGTTCGCATACTTCGGGAGCACCCATGCTTCAATATACTTGCTTCAAATGGAGCTTGCTTCTTGATTGAAGTTTCCGCTAATATTCATAATCTACATTCAATAGCGATATTCTATATGGGGAGATGCTTTCATTACTCTCCCACTCCAAACCCAGTCGGAAATTGTGGCACTCCGTGGAGAAATAACTGTTCTAGACACTGAGAGACAAATATCAGCATCTGACAAAGCTTCAAGCACCCTGGACCCGTTGGAAAATAATTCCCTCGGAGCATTACCACCGCAATAAAGATAAATCATCCGGTATTTTGGCAACTATACTCTTTTTAAAAAATCTCCTAATATCCGGCTGCCATTGTACTGCGCGAATATACTCTCACTCCCCAGAACGGTGTTACAACACCACCGTATTTCATTAATGATTTGTATTATGGCATTTGCTAAAATGCGCTATTCAAATCTGATAAATTTATATATTACCAACAGGCAATTTTTGCAGTGTTGAATTTGTGCCCGGTAAAAGCGTTGGTTGGGACGTTAGTCCTTACTTGTGGCGAAAGAATTTTGTCGGGGTCTACCAGTATTTTTTCTGAATAAGGAGCGGTGTCACAGGTTGGGTTGAAACGGTGCTACAGCAAGGCCAGGCTCTAAATTCTCATTAACAAGGTCACGGGTAATATATGGCCACAGCGACCAAAAATTTTAGGCTCATTAGTGTCATCAACTTCGACAATTTTAAGGGATATCCAGCTGTTGAGACTTGTGCTATTACGGTTTGCCCTACGTTCGATTGTAAGTTCTTTTTCGTTGTACAAACTGAATGATAGTGAGATGTTAATATATATACTCACCAGGCCGCAATACTTTTTTTCAGTATGACGGGCAATATGCGCTGTGTAACACTCGGTTTTTAAACTTGAGAACCGAGAAATGTTAAATTCGCCTGATAAATACGAAGTGCCGTCAGCTTGAAAAGATTTTCGTTTACATTTGGTAATCTTAGTATGTAGAATTTTCAACAAAGAATGGGATATCACATTGTGGCCAGTCCCAATATCGAGTAAGGCATTGACAAAGGACCCTTCACCCCCGAAAAATTCTTCCTATACTTTACCATGGCAAAATTTTCGGAGCTATTTTAAGAGTGCTGCTTTTGCGAGTTGGCGCCTGTAAAATGGGGTATGTGTTTCAAACCATCATTATGATTCGTCGAATACAACACTCTGTTTTTTAAAGGAACGGTAAAGAATTTCAGCCTAGTCTATCACAGCTATTTCTACACTAATTTTTCATTACTGCAATTAAATTAAAACTCCTAGAAATACAGAGTGATCATTGAATTATCTGATTTATATTTAAGTTTCCGAAACACAACTGAAAACTAACGAATAGAATTCAAAAACGCGAAAACGAGGTAATGTTTACGACCACCAAAGGGGTGTAGGCCGCACATTTGTGTTTTAGGCCAATATGGTCTTGAGCATACATCCCGTCTTCAGTATTTATAATTACTTACTCCTTTATATTGCTTTTACGAGACGAATACATACATACCCCGCTTGAAAATCTGTCTGAGTGAGGAAAGTGTCTCAGCGGATGAGAAAAGGGGGCATTGTTACGCACTTTTTTGCATCTTGCTGATTGGCCAATGTCACGAAGTAAACAAGGAAATCGATGCTCGGAGGAAAGTCCATATGATTGCCAAAATACATCTTTAATAGAGGGCCTCGACATCGACGCTTCTTGTGCGTGTAAGAGTAAAGTACAAATTCTTACCTCTGCACTGATCCTGTCTTCGTGCGGGTTTTCTGCTTGAATACAAATTTCTCTAGTTAAATATTCACGATCACTCTCTGGCAACTTCATGCACTTAGTGAGAAAGGGGTTCGAGGAGTAGCCAGTCAGCTTACAATATGGCCACTTCTTCTCATGAGCATTTAAACTTGTTCGAAATTTTTTTGTATGTTGGCTAGTACTTGTAAGTTGTTCGCGTAATTTTGGATTTTTTGAGGCCAGATAGTTCGTTTGGTAGTAAGTCAATTGACCTAGAATTTCCGGCTTGATTGACGCAAATTTACGAGTACGAGGTTCCGTGTCGTATCTTTGTTTCACCAGCCACTGAATTACAATGAAAAATCAAGCACGTGCGCGTTATGGTAACAGAAGCATCACATTAGTAATAATTACAACCTGTTGCAGTTCTTCTTAAATTCGATTAAACTATCGCAGAAATAGGATGACTATTTCACACTACAATGGTTCACATTTCTATGAAACTGGATCGTATGTATACCTTACCTTCATTGAACTAAGAGTTGAGCGATTATCTACGAATTGCTTCTTTTATTCGTTTACATTTACCACACTTCAAGCTATAGTTTTGTGTGGACGCTATGGTGCTGATGTAATATGAGAAAAAAATTATGATTGGACCAGAGCATTTCAGCGGTATTACTGAATCATGCTGTATGACATAATCTATCTTAAATTTTCTTTGATTTCGGTTTGTGTATCGTGGAAAAAGCTTGTCAAGTTCGTAAGAGACTGCTTTCTTTCTGGTGCATTGTCTCCAGAATCCAGACGCATCCTTTTGCAGCAATTGTTTTCCAGTGGGCCGCACTCATGCTGCATTTTCAGCAGCTCTTAAACTAAAGCGATCAACATCCATTCCTTAATGCAAAACCTCCACATATTTTGTTTTTGGTATAACATCAGACGAGCAATCGTTTGAGTAAATAGGGTAGGAGGCTAAGATCTGAAGCCCAAGCCGAAATTCGGGCCGGGCCTGAAATGTCAATCATTACGTTCGGGTCGGGCTTCTCTATCGCCGACTTTTTTTTTTAAATAAATAAAAGTTTATAAAAAATATATACTAAAATTATGTGTGAATACTAAACTAAGGAATACTTGTTATAAAGTAAATAACCGCAATGACAATTCAAAAACTCCTGAATAAAATTTAGGGTTTGCTTCGGGCCTGCAAATCCGGATAATTAGTCGGGTTCAATACCCACGGGCCTGGGTCGGGCTGGAATTTTTGGGCCCGATCATACCTCTTCCAGATGCATTGACTACATCGGAGGACGTTGTAACGGAATACTAATTACGTTCCACCTATCGATCAGGCTACCACTGCGACGGCGAGTGGTCCAGAAATCCTGGCGAAATCCCAAACCACATACGATGATAAGACATGCCGCGTTCGTGATGTTTCGCACCATGTCGCCGGTATGTAATACCAGGGTGTCCTTTTCATTTCTCACTAATTTTTGCTAGCGTATTAGTCAAGTGGCCAGATTATGGAATTTTTCATATTCATCTCGAGCGGCATCAAGCTGGCAGTTCGGCGGATCATATGTTGTAACAAGGGCCTGTCGTCCGTGCACGAGGATACTCGACCAGTCAATCATTTCATATTAATAAAATAAATAAAACAGAACCAAAATGTTTTTTGATCAATTTTTAACTCACTGTTACAATAAATATAATAAAGGCGACGTAAACGTATTATAACTTGAAAATCGAAACTAAAACTTTGGAAAATCCAACATTGTTGTAGTTGAAACTGTATAAAAGAGCAAGTGTGAAGATACTCATAAGAAGCCACGATACCATGACCAATTTCACCCAGCTATCTCTGATCAAAAGTGGAAGATAATCAGCAAACACAGAGTTCAGGCCTCTAAAAACAACAATTTTATACTATCAAATTTATATGGCCAATCCTTCCCTGGTTTAATGAATATAGAGACACTTTCTTTTCACCATTCACATTCATGCATCTGGAAACTGCTATTCCCAGTTCAGTACTTGGGTGGGAGGCCCAGAAACAACTATGCAGTCCAGGTCCTCACGTCAACCTCTCCAACCAAAGTTGATATCACAGCTATAAACAATCAATGACTTAGGTGCGCTAGCAAGCAGCTACATTGGTTTGATGTGTAGCAATGATTAATAACATCATTATAAGAATGTTGGGCGGTCGTGAAAAGAAAAGAAAATCGTGCTATGACGGTATGACCCCATTTCCCATCTGGGACTAGAAGGTAAATAGATCAGCCTATGTGCCCAAAGTTCAAATATTGCAGACAATAATAGTAATTACTTACGCGTAATTGTGATGAACCAAAAGTGTTACTGTTGCGAAGTCTACCATAGGGTTTCCAGGACAAAGAAAACATGTTGTCAATCCTCCAAGCAATCCAACTGATGCAATTCGATACATCTTCCATTTTGAACTGGAAACATCTGAGGTAAAATCATATCTTCAATGCATACTCATTAAAAAGGACGAAAGATTGAAGGAAATCAGAATAGCTAATGACAAATATCATATCAATCATGTAATAACACCTCCTCCAAAGTCGATGTCCATATCAGTCTTCAGAACACAGAACACAAACACAATAAAATCAATTTGAAATTGATAGTATTTCAATTTGGGAATCTTTTACAATGAGATCATTTAAAAACCCATCATTTTGACCTATTTATGTCTCTCAGTATGACAATATTTATTCGTTCAGTTTATGAGGCAGTATAAAAACAATGTGCAATCAGGTCCTTGTTTACCTAACTTTTAACAGATTCTAAATTATTGTATATACAATTTGCATATATTCTCAGATAAACCCTATATTAAACATACCAATTTCAATTTTCTCTTTATTGCAGTCATCTCACTATGTATCACTCATGCATATTGGTTGTGAAAAATAGTAGCAAAGTCGAAAACAAAAAAATGAGCAATTTTTTTTCCTACTTTCCCTGATATACCAAACTAGAATTATTAAATTGATCTCACGTTTGGATTCCAACTGATGCCGAAGATAAAATTTATCTGAGCTTTGTGCAGAAATAGCAGTAGGTGTTGTAGAAAATGGACGAAGCAGAGTTTTGGCTATTGCCGGTAGCTGAGATGATTTGTGACCTGCAAACAATTTTTAAATCATGAAAAGCGTTTCAGCATGCAACACTTGACAGTACACATTTATGCAATTAAAACAATACAAATTGTTGAACAATTATAATTATTTTAGAAATCGCAATTTAATTTGGCTGACATTTTGATCCAACTTCATTCCAAATTTGTATTAGGGTTTCCATTATACAAAAATAGCAAATGTTAGAATAAATATTAGCATATATACATTTTTTCGACCAATTGAATACTAACGAATAATTTTATTGGCTCAAGTTTGGATCTTCTGTTTTGTTCAAATATAATAAAATTAACAAACACAACAAATAGTAATTTAAAGTTATGTTTATTAAAACTGAAAATACACTCAATCACTTGAGTGTGCAAAGATAATCCTCTCTTCCTTAATCATATAAGTATTGAATCTTGCATCTTCTTTAAACCTTTTTGTTTAAATAAACCCCCCATTTATAAAATTTTACCTTCTGTTATCAGCCTCAGTAGCATCTCTTTTTGCTGGATCTTTTCAAATCGATGACAAGACTTGGAACTTATTTGTAACCTATGATGCTAGGAGAAAGAACACATTAGACACAAAAAAGTAATATTAAATAACAGTTCTGATAACATTAACATGTATTTTGATATTCATATTGATTTTCAACAAACCAGATCACCGTAATCACTAAAAGCTATGAAAACTGGATACACTCCTACCCAGCCTGAACATTAATCCTAGTTCATAGAATCGTTTACATTTCAGGAAGGGGATAGAATTAGAAAATAAAGACGAAAAAACAGAACAAATGAAATGAGCTATTGAAAATGTCCATTTGCATCTAATTATACACTCTATTAAAAAGGAATATGTATACCGTAATTGGCTAAGCATTCGATTGGAACTGGAGAAGATTCAATACAAAAATTCAATAGATTCAAACGACTAATTAGTGTTTTAAAAAATAAATACCACAAGCATCATCTGTTTATAACTTAATACTAGCAGATAGTTTTGAGTAACCTACAAATAAATCTTGTGAACTTCTATAGCACATCCACTAGCTTAGTTAATCTAATTCAGCTATTCCCAATTCCTCATCTGTCCATTCTTCTGCAACAGGAACCTTATGATGAGGGTATAACATGTCATAGTGGTAATAGAAACTATACCAGAGAACAGTCCATACAAATGTCGCTATGACATCAAGCGCAAACATCATTATTGGGTCCTGGGCTGGTAGACATCTGTATGACCAGTGTTCGTTCCCAAATGGGGGACCAATTTCCGGGTGAAGATAATCAGTCTCAAATTCTTCTCCATCCTGGCGTAAGATGGCAAGTTTTCTTGGAGTTGTTACAAAAGATCGTGCTGCAAGCTTCTTCACTCGCACCATACGAGAAACTGGACGAGCCAGTAACCTCGTTAACATTACATTCATTGTCACCACCCTAAGATGTGAGCACAATGATTTAAAACTGAAACAAGAGTTATAAAATTCATTAATTTAAAGTTTCATAATAATATTGTTGCCCTATTCCATATCCCATAATCCTGCCATGCACACATAATTTTATACCAACATGATTATGAATAAGTGTATTCCCTGGGCATTTACGAATACAATAGATGTATTGGATCAATAGTCACAATTGCAATATGCATGGTGTACAGATATTATTGTCATAGCAGTGTCAGAAACAAATAACTGGTCAACTGTTATTATGCCCGATATGAACTCGAAACCAGAGCGACAGACCGAGGCTTGTCATGTGATTGAGCCATCTTATTGGCTTTCCTCTCCACATGCTGACATGAATGAACACCCTGTCCTAACCATCGATTCCTTCATGTACCGCAAAGTGACTAGAAACCAAGTGAGGACATGCATTGGTAACGATATAATCGTGCGTGTGACGTCACACCAGCCATTTTGTGTCCAGAGTTCTATCGCTGTAAGCGATAACTACGGTAAGTGATTTAAACCTGCGATCGTTAAACAGTTGAATAAAAAAAATCGACGCTTAATAATTTGGACCAAATTTTCGCAGCGGCAAATCGGATGAACATTCTTCTGAAAAATTAATTTAAATTCCTCAGATATCTCGGCTCGGCGGCATGGCCATTGGTCAGCATATACGAAGTTAAGGTTAAAGTCATCCAACTTCACTCGATAAATCAATACAATACACACAATAAGACCAAAAATATTAAACAAAGAGATGCATATTTTACTATAAAAATCCTGATGTAAGTATCGCTAATTGTACAGAACTTATTTTAACAAACTGACGGAACTACACTACGGGAACTTGCAACTATTTGTTCAACAATGTGTACATTGTCAAAATACCGTATTTTCCGGCGAATAAGTCTACCCGGCGAATAAGACGAGGCCTGCTTTTAAGCCTGAAAAAAATGGGTTTTTACATATAACCGGCCAATAAGTCGGGGTAGTAAAATTGCATCAACATCGGGAATCTTAAATTACCTTGCAATGCCTTTTGAGCGGTCGCCGCGTTTGCGCACTGGTTAAAATAGCCTATAATAACTTTTCTTGTAGCTTAATATTCAATCCATATACGGTATGTTAATTCAAATATGATAATCACAGCTTTACAATTCCAGATTCACAGCGCGAAAATGTCGATTTATTTAAACTAACCAGATGAGGACGTGGGGGATGCTATCGCCGAAGGTATTCTATTGTCCGGATTCAATAATGGGGCGACACCAAAAAAATGAAAATGATCATACTCGCCCAATAAGACGACCCCCCCCTCCCCCCCCCAAAAAAAAATCAGGCCAAAAATTTGGGTCTAGAAAAGCGACTTATTCGCCGGAAAATACGGTATATTAAAAAAATATTCTACATGCACGAAATGAAGGATATCGGCTTATATCAGGGTTACAAGAAAAGAAAGAATTTATTTATTTCGTCAAACCAGAAAACATAATAATGATACAATAACAAATAAATTATAAAACAATACGTAATGCAGTTTTCGCTAAAAAAAATAAAATAAATCTCTCTTCGGTATATGACTGGGTGATAACGATACGGCCATATACGGTCGCATATGCATTTCTTATGGTATTTGACTGAAATTAATAATTTTCACGCATATTCTAATGTTAATTCATTTCTTATCAATTGCGGGGCGCTGTCAAATCCCAACCCAACAAACCACCTTAATTATGGATGTTTTTCAATTCGGATAAGTCGTAGATAAACAATAAGGCCAATGTATCATTTGGAAACGATGTATCGCGGCCACGTAACATGATCACCTCTCCATTTACATGTATTTAGTATTTTATTACCTATCTCTATCCTTTGCGCGATCACAATATCATTGCGTGACATGGCTCTGTAGTACCCGCGATATATATTCATATATAACTAGAGACTAGAGTGCGCTTCATTGTCGTTTTGCGGGATCATCTGGATATCCCATTTTGACTTCGGTAAATGAACAAAATCGGTGAACGATTAGAAGCCAAGTTTTCGTAACGACGCAAAGTACAATTAGGCATTGACGTTCAGGCGACGTTGTTCTGCAGAACGTTGTAAATTACGCAATCGCGAATTTTGTCGTTCACAGCTGCAGTTCCAATTATATCAGTATCGTAGCATCGGCCGCGGTTTAAATAATACCTGCTTTAAACGTATGCTTTAGGTTTATGATGTTTCACACTTACCAGGGTAAGTGATAAGTGTTTTTCGTAAGGAACGCAGAGCTGCTACGTTGCAACACTTTGGTCGCAACGTAATTGCGAAAGATCGCTGCGTAACGAAGTAATTAATTTTACTCGGGTAATGGTTAAAGTGATTTCACTGAAATTCCAATCCCTAGATATCACCAATTGTTGTTTGAATGTCTAGTCGAAGTGAATTTAATTCAGACTTATTTGAGTCGGAGAATTGTTTTTATTGATAAAGTTAGAAACAAACACAAAACAGATTTCAACACTTTCTGTTCTCTTTCGTGCAATAAAATACATAACGTAGTAGTAATACGTGACGTAATAATACCGTGTTAATGAGTGGATACTAATGTCTAATTACAATGCAGGGCCTGATGGCCGATTCTTGAAACTTACAAGTTACACAAGAAAACGTTAAATCCAAAGGTAAATAATGAATGCTCAGTCATTCAATAGACACAAAGCCCTCAAGTTAAAGAGTTTTTTTCTACAAAGTTTCAGGCATTAGGTCGCATAATATGTAAAATAGCATTAGTGCTATTTTGCATCGTCATCACGCCATTTACAGATGTGTTCCGCCTGTTCGATTCATCAGCTCATGCGATAGCTACATTCAAAAGTAGTATGCTGTCAATATGTACTCATCTAATCTGTGTTATGAGAGCTAAAGGAATTAGCCCAAGTTGAAACCAGGCGTACAAGCGTTCGTTACAAATAATTTACGGTGTATTTACAATTTGACCATGTTTGATATATTAATCTCTCATAACCATTATACATTTCATCGAAAAACCAGATGTGATGGCGTCAATCATCTCAACAATATTTTTCCATTATTTACGGTTAATATATATATATATGCACGTTGGCCATGTTAGATAAGTTGATAGTTCAATGCAGGGGTGTGCAACTTTTTTATAGGCGGGCCAAGTACAGGTAACTGGGTGATTGGGTGAAGCCACGGGCCGCACTTAGAAACTCTACCTATACGAAAGTCTCTGGATACGAAAAATTTGTAGTTTTTATTCGGTATTTCTCTGTTCTTTTTTCTTACCATGTGTATCTTGAAGAATTTTCTACTTGCGAGTGGGTTTCCGTAACTTGAACTAAATGAATTTGTCCCAAGCCCCTTCGTTAGCAGAAAATTCCGTGATTATGGGTTATGAATTATGAATTAATCCGTTCCAAGACCCCACAAAACTCGGACATAATATTTGACTGGGTTAATTACTTCACGCTGAACTACTGATTTAGGAATACGCTCTTCAGGCGTTCCCATGCGCTTAAATTGGTTTACAGTCACATATCGTTGTTTGATAATCATTTGGCTTTGCATGAAATATGTACTAAATCATCCGTAATTCTAGCATGGTACATTCTATGTGGAAAACGTTCTTTCCAGGTATAAAATTCTACTTTTGTCCGTTACAGCATGGCGGATACATGCCACATAACTTAATTATAGGAGGATCATCATAATTATGATTGTTTTGAGCGCACAAGAGATGATATTACCGGCTTCATATCTAGTTTGTCTTCATATTTCTCAAAATCGATGGCAATCTTGCTTTCAACACTTAAAATTTCTTCACTAAATGTAGCAATAAAGGTTTTTTCCTCATTTTGTATAGTACTGTCTTCTTCAATTAGAGCCATTTCCATAATATCAATTAGACAGACCAAAAATGCTATTTTATCGTTAGCATCATGAAACAGTATTTTGACCTTTTCAAAATCTCTTTTTAGGAGAGAGTGCTCAAATCTTGTAAAAATTCTATCCAAAATCCTTTGGGTACCGGAAACTTACTCTTGAGTAGTTTGAAATTCTGACCTTGAAAATATTCTGCCATTGTTAGTTGGCATTCTTGCTTTGATGTATTGCTGAATCCCCGAGAGGTTGAAGAAGAACTGCTTGATTCGGAATCCAGTTCGTAGATGTGGGTGCTGTATCTTTAAATGTACCTAATTTGAATTCCTGCCCATTGACAAATCAACCTTGCCTACTATGTCTCTTTAACTAATACATATCCCGAAATGAAACTAATAGATTTCTCCCAAGATCTGACAAACAAGAAGGATGAATATTAAAATAAGTACAAGCAACCAGGCACAATACAAAGCAAGAATTACCAATTTACTTACATTTAAATGAGGCTTTGTCAGAACAGATTATCCCAATGTTAGAAACTTAAGAAAATAGATTATTCATACCCAATGACTCTAGCACCAATAACAAGCTCTTGTGAATACATCTAAACACAGTCTAAAGTACTGGACAGTTAAACATAACATCGCGACGGGATGAACCAGACGTAAACACACCAAAAGTAAGTATTAATTAACAAGATAAATCAGTCAAATGTTCAAACCAACATCTACACCAGGGTGGTCCAAGGTTGTCGACTCCGGGGGCCACAAAATTATTTTTGCATTGTTCGCGGGCCACGATAGTGCCAAGAACAGTTAAGCAGTGCAATACGAAACAAACACTTCTATTGTGTAAACACGTAATTATCATGCATTGCCAACCTAGGCTAGTGGACTCCGCATCTGGATTTTAGTTATCTATGATGCCTATATTGTTAGCATATATTCCCGACCAAACGATAGAAAGCCAGATAACAATTTAAACTGCCCATAACAACACCATTTAACTTCGCTAACCATCAGCCTCAGCTAGCCATAATACTAGTCAATTCAGCAGTAGTGATATAACAATACGTCACAAACATTTTCTGATTAATTTTATGAAAAGCAAACCAGAATACGATTTTTTGATTACTCTCCGA